TCATTGAAAACCCAGGAAAGCATTTTTCAGGGCCCTCAATATGGATATTTCATTTTCATGGTCTCTTTTTCAGGCCATGAATTTTCTATGAAAAGTTGACAATGGGTTTCATGGCTCATGAAATTGCCATGAAATATCTGGCACTATGTAGGTTTCTTGAGCCATGAAAAGTTGGTGTATTAGAGATTCCATGGGCCATGAAAAATACACTCATAGATTTCAGGGGTCATGAAAAGTGAGAAATGATAATTTAGATTTCATGGGTCCTGAATATACCATTAAATATGTGCCATGTTGGTCCATGAAACTATATACATTGATTTCATGGGCCATGAAAATTCTAAGAAATCAGTTCCCTGAATAGAATCACACCCCGAAATATATAAATTAATGATCTCATGAATAACCCATGAATTTGGAGCCATAAATACTAACGTTGCACTAAGGTCCAGCTTTACTATGAAAGAAAAAAAATCACGTGATTGTTAATAAGTACAAAAAATTAAGACCATGTACAGGTAGTATACTATATACCATGAATGGTTCACAATCCGTGACTGTGGTAGCCTTATTCTAATTTTTTTTAGAATGTGAAGAAGGAAATTTAAAGCAAAGCACAAGTTCATAAAATTATGGTGCATAGAATTTTTTGATCTACAGTATCCAAGAAAAACAAAAATCGTATTTCACACACTTTTCTTAAATGTTTCCATTAAATTTGAATGCTCGGAAATAATCCGTGCCTTTCAAAGTTTTAGCCTTTAAAACTCCAACCTGTGTAGGTGTGATCCATCTGCTTTACGTATGCAGCCTTTATTTACTCCAGTCTGACGTGTGGCTCAAAATCTACTTGAGTTAATGTTCACTGACTCAAAATGCTACTTGTAATGTTGCTTGTAGCTGTCCCCTGGCAATCAAGGATACACATCTAAAAACCAAATGATGTTGGAATCATGCGCTACAGTAAGGGGACAAGAAATGCTTCTGAGTAGAACCAGGATTCCTTTTTCTGTTTTATTTTCTGCACGCCACAGACCACAGCTTGCATCGAAACATGGCTCCATGTACAAACTGACTGCTGCCCACATGAATGATTTTTCTGCAAAAGAATGCTGGTATAACCGCTGAATTACACCAAAGTTCATCTCCTGAGATGCTTGACTTGCTCCAGAACAAGGCAAAGAACAGTAGACAACACTCAGCCTCTTGTTGTGGTGCTCCTTTGAAATATACAGATAACTGTGAGAGTGCTGTTTTGTTTCCAAGGAGTATTGCTCATAGACTGTAGCCTTGGACTGAGGGCCAATTTGAGGCTTGATCTCCTGTCATATCCATTTTTGACAGGGGTGGGATCATGAATTTAGACTTGTTTTTACATATACGGCGGTAAACAGTTCTGACTTCAAAGTGGCGTGAGCGTGAATTTGTCGGTAGTGAGGTCTTCACAGCATATTTGTGTGATGCCTTTGGTGAATGTCTTGATTTTCAGCGCCTATTTGTTTTGGCTTAGCGATGTTCGGCTGAAAATCCCGCTTTATGTCTTAGCTTCTCAACCAGGCGAGCACATGGTAAAGAAGCACGTTTTAATGAGTCGCGGATGTGTGACGTAACACACTACATAACAGAGATTAAATGTCCTTTCATGGGAGAAAACCATGGAAAACCAATGGATTACAAAAATGTGTGCATCAACCATATTTTTCAGATTATGTTGGAAATGTTATGGTCATCCACTCAGGAATGTCACTATGTTGTTTGGAAGAGAGGTGACAGTTACATAGAATTGCTATTAAAGTACCGGCCTCTACAAATTTTGGAATCTTGCTTCGGATAAGGTACAACCTGCATGGCATGAAGATGTAGTTGGTCTTTATAAAAAAAAGTGAGAAAATTGCCACAAAAAGTCCCTCTATATAGTTTTATACCCAATTCTCTTACTACCCCAAATGTTTTGTCCCATGGTGATTTAAAGAAGTTTGAGGCTATAGACAAACCAGTCCTGAAAAAATGCATTTCTCATAAACGCCAGGGTTGTAAAGATGAAGAAAATATGGAGTTGCAAACTCAACCCTTGTGAGTTGTGCAGAAAGAGGTTAAGTAGGTCTTCAGGTGCAGTACAGCAACTGTCTTATCAATCTTATAAGTTAATAGGGACTTTTAGCACCGACGGTTTTCAAGACGGCTACGGGAACCGGAAATGAAGTCAGACTCTTTTTCGCGCGCGCGAGTGTCACCCTCGGTTTCTTGCCGCCGTAGCGGCCTTCCCTAGTACGGCAAACCGAGTAGTTTGACGTACTGGCGACTACGGGAGTTTTAGGTGAGTATTTTTTAACCTTTTACTTGACTTTTATTGTTTTCATTTGAAAAACAACTTCTTATTCCTTTTCTTCATAAATTTAGACCAGTTTTCTTTAGAATTGGTTTGATATTTTTGCTTTATTTACGCTTTTTTCACAGGTGTGGATGACACATGTCGGTCGAAAAGCATCTCAAGTGAGCT